TAGGGATTTATCTTACACTGGTAATTTCTTGTGTATGGTGTTGTATGTGTTGGGTGTCTCTTTTGCTCCTTTTTTGAATTTGTGTGATTTGTGTGATGAGAATCGAGTTGTGATGTTTTTAAATCAATCAGCATACCAACATTGTAACATCACTTGGTTTAACATCTACAACAAAAAGTTTCTAGTGCTCATAAGCAGCCAAACGTTTACAGTAATCTGTGTACTTCCCCCCTCAGCAAGTAGGTCAGATATTACGTTCTCACCCCTGACTGTAACTGATAGGAGCATCCGATAAGAAAGCAATGGGCATGCATTGCACTCTCATATACATTGTCTGCTGGAGCTTTCATACCTGCTCTGTTGCTGTATTTTGTATTGTTTTTATTGTCTGGACTGATAAAACTGAACCTTCGTGACTGAGTAGCTGGCGTCGTACCTTGTTGGTTACAGCATTGATGGCCAGGGTTGGGGACGCCCCTCCTGACATAATGCAGTCCATCCTCAGAGACTCTGACTCCAGGCTGTAAGGAGTTGATGCCTGAAAGTAGAGGACAGAGGAGTGAGAACGACCAGCTTACCAAATAAACTATGCTTCAATTAATGATGGCTGAATTCCATTTAGCTGCTGCTTCTGATTCAGGGACCTGGTATTGTACATGTTGACACACTGTCATAACTTACTAGCACTAATGAATAAATTGTCTAAATGTCTGCTGTGGAAAAACACCTATAATGGTCTGTGTTTACAGGTAAGCTAACATTGTGTTACTAATAAGGCGTTCAACTTGTTGTGGTTTTATTTTTATTTGCCTCAATATATCTCAATTGATGTCTATCCAAAGTAAAAAACAAAAAAACTCTCTAAAACAGTGAACATTCAACTGGTGCATTGTAAGCTTTTCAGCTTCAAAAAAAAAAAAATATATATATTTTGAGCCAATAATTATCTGTGGGTCTTTTCTGACAAAAAGAAGTCTGTGTTTATTCCATTGTGATTCCGTACCAGCTGTGGCCAAATTCAAGCAGTTTGATACTGTTGCTTCTCAGGCAATACGCTCAGTAGATTGATTTAAATCAGTGAATTGTTACACCCCAGGGAGATTGATGAAATTTACAGGAAACATGATAAAAATAATGAAGTAGCAGAGACCACTTCTTCTCTCTCCTCAGGACCTGAATGTGGTGAACAATAAAAGACAGATAAATATCACCGTGCAGCGCAATGGATACATGACTGCTTACCTGATATACACCTGTATAAATGTTCTATAAACCTAATCTGAATCCACAGGCCTTACAATAAAGACTAATGGCAATAATGTCAATCACAGAAAGGTCAGCCTACATTACTGGTTGCGGGATTTAATTTGGAAATCAAGAAATGTATAGTATAGTATAGTATAGTATGTAGTATTTTTTCTGGTCCATTTAAACAGCTGCACAAATATTTTTTCAACAGTAACTTTTAAGTCTAGCCTATTAATTAATATGCAGAAGTATTTCAAATATGCTACCGCTGATTGGAAATATGCAGAGGAGACTGACAGTGAAAATGAGGAAGGAAATGAAATGTGACAGAGGTTATGAGAAATTTCTAGAACGCTGCAAGTTCATGATTCTGTACTGAGCCTCCTGAATCATCACCGTGCCTCAGGCTCTGACTATGTGAACTAGTCTAGGCGCACTTCATTTAAATTGCCGGACACTTAAACAGCCTGAAAAGTGGACACATTGCTTGCACTTGATAAGATAAATCAAGCCATCTTCATGCATTATTCAAGTGTCTAAAATGTATTCAGCCAGCAGTTCATTTTCTGCCGTCCACACAAAGAGCTAAAGTAGGGTTAACTGAGTATGAGGATGTGAGGAACTATTCAAAGATCGATGAGGGGCTAAATTGATGCCCGCAACGACGGGGAAAAAAAAAAGAGAACAATATTTTTTCCCTTGTCTGACTGCTTTCAGGGTTCAAGACAGCTTGCCTGCCTCCTCAAACTGCTTACAGTAAGAGGATTGGTCGGTAACAATGCAATCTTTAATTTATGATAAACTCCCAGTGAATCGGGTTGTCGGTTCCCTGGTGGAGGCACTTAAACAGAAGATAAGGGTGAGGTGAAGAGAGGAGTGAGAAAGACTTGTGGAGGAAGGGGAGAAAGAAAAGGAAGAATGTGTAAATTGAGTGGTGACAGACAGACAGACAGACAGACAGACACAGACAGAGAGAGAGGCACACAGGAAATGAAAGCGAGCAATTACACTGAGGGCACTGGATACGCAGGAACTAAACTAAAGTGTACACTGCCTGTCTACACATTTATACAATACATTTATGCAGTTGACGTTTAGCCTCGCCGCCAACTTCAAATCTTTTCATTTGCACAGCCGCTGTCATCAGGAGACTTTAAAGACTTTGACTGTGTAGCCCCGGTGCAACAAAAACCCCAATGAAAACAGTACCGACATATTTAGCCCACCTTGTTTTTTTTCCTTACGGTAACACTGCTATAAATCTTAGCACTTAAAACCTCCCTGTTTCTCCTTAGCCCATGTGACAGCCCACAGTGTGTCTGCCAGCGGTGCAAGTGAGGCGTAAGACGAGATGACAAGGCTCTGAATTAATTAATGTTTGTAATAAAAAAAAAAAAAATTGGTGAAGAAAATATGTCTAACGGCAGCCCCGGGGCCTTCTGTGGTAATTAACTGGAACACAAGCCTAGAATACTCTCCCTCCTCCCCTCCTCTTACTCCCCTTACTTTTTTTTTTCTTCCTTCCCCTTGCAACTTGACTTTCCCTCCCTGCTCTCTCCACCTTGATGTCTTTTTCTCTTCTTTTCTTTCAAACTTCTTTCCACTTTTTTATTCCTCCCACCCCACTTTTCTCTTTTACCTCAATTCTTCCTCCAATGAGCAACTGTGATTGTGCTCTTTGCTGCTCCACGCCTGCCTGAGTTCCCTGGAGAGGAGAAGGCTACAGCAGCAATACAGGCGGGTGGGGGGAAACGACAAACAGATAAACCGACACACAGAAAGATAATGATCAAGATACACAAACAGTGACAGAGACACGGGATGAGAAAAGAAGGGAGATGACCAGTTGTGCTGCACTGTGATGAAAGACTGCAGGTTTTCAACAACAACAAACAGTCAGGTGTACATTCAGAAAAACCCTCAGTGGGTCAGCTGCTGGTTACAGGTATCTACGGAACACGATTAAAAACAATAGGATATTGGATTCAAAGCCTTGAGAAAAAGCTTTACCAGTGACATTGCGACCCGGCAGGTCTTCTGCTTGGTCCACACAAGACGCCAGCTGATTTTACTAATTGGTTGCCCAACCTTGGCTGAAGGAAAGGTTGTCGCGCCTACCTGAAGCCCAGCGTTGATCAAGGATGCCAATAATGTACCGCTACTGATCAGAATATCACTGGATTAAAGTGTTTCCATATTTTATTTAGATCATGTCTGTGGTGTTTTCTGCAGGGCATGTCATCTTGTCAACTCATATAATGCCCAGAGCTTCTTTAACGTTTAACTGCTATGGCAGCATCTTCAATTATTACTTTGTTTGTTCCAATCAAGATGGAGCACAGCTATTGGATCATTTAAGCTCAGCTGAGGTGATGGTCAAAGGAGAATTTCATCAGTTGAATGTTTATAGTTATATAAGGAATCTGACAAATTGGTTTGGAGGTATTACTGAAATTTCAGTTTTTAAACCAACACAAGTTATGAGTGTGTTAATAGACAGCAGAGATGTAGGCAGACGAAACTGATACAAGACCTTCACTGTTTTAGTATTCTGATCCTCAGGTTGATGACTGAACGCATTCTGCCTGGTTGACGCAGGGTTACATATATTTATAGCCTCGGCCGCTGTCAATCAGTCACCCAAACCAATTTTCATTCCTACTTGTGTGTGCTTGACATCTATTCTGTAGCTTGGCGCTGCTGTTCCTGTGACATCTTGTAAACTGCAAATCCAGGAGCCTGTGGTTAACATTAACATGACATTGTTTAACGGAGACTATAGGCTCTGGTTCTCTAATGGCACATGGTACATAGCAAACAGCACATGAGCTGGAGATGGAGCATTTCTATCATACATATGGCGGATAGAGTACCAAGCAAATCTTGTATCATGAATAACATATTCAACCCACCCATTTTTGTGACGCAAATAGATGCCATTCAAAGGCAAACCAAATGTTTTTTGTCCCTCATATGATAAGCAATTAGACTGATAGAGACTCTTCAAGCAAGCATAACATGCAGCAAGATAAAAAAAAAAGTAATAAGCTGCATGTTTCATCCTCTCAAGAGAAATTATCTCTACCATAGTCAAGCAGGTAGCTGATGTACACGTGGAATGAATGTTGTTCTACATAAAACTACAGTGGTTACACGTTCAGTACATCCCTTAAACCACACATCTCCCTGTCTGCAGATCTTCTTGGCTCTTCACTTCGTATAACTGATCTAGCCCATAATCCCAAACCCTTTTCCAGTATGATGCAGGTGCACCATGTGCCTCTGGTCAACAAATTCCCAACAATATAAGCGTCAGAATAAGTCATCAGGCACTGTTGGCCCACATGGTGTGCCACTGATTACAATTTTTACCACCACTGAATCACAAAAAATAACACATCTCAGAATACATTTTTTTGTTAAATTGATGATGTGTTTTAAACTGTGTTTTGATCTGCATTATTCAGTGTTGAGGTCTGTCTGCTATAGTATTGCACTGCCCAGAGCATTTTTTGCTAGCAGCATGGCTCTGTGGATGGCAGTGTCAGTCAGTGCACCACTTTGGTCCAGACTGAAATAACTCTTGGATAGACTGCCATGATATTATCATGAACATTCAAGTTCCCCACAGACTGATTCCAACTCTGTGATTTATTTTCTCCATCGCTACTATGAGGTTCACATTTGTGGTTTATGGTCAAGTGTCTTTACAACTTTTGGATGGATTGCCATGAAATTTGGTCCAGAAATTCATGTCAAGATAATTGCAATCACTTTGGTGATCTGCTGACTTTTAATGTAGCACCATCATCAGATCACAATTTGATTTAGTCCAATATTTTAGTTAATGACTAAATACCTGCAAAACGCAACATTCACATCAACCGTTTTTTATTGCTATTTAGCAAATGTTAGCATGCTAAACTTAGACGGTGAACATGGTAAACATTATACGATCTTAACATCAGCAGGTTAGCATGTCATTGTTAGCATGCTTATGTTGACATTTAACCAAGCCACTGTGCTTAACTGTCCAGTGTGTAACATTAAGGAGGACCTTTTGGCAGGAAATTAATGTATAATATATAAATTATATTATTAATTATAACATTCGTAGGTTTTAATTAGTGTATAATCACCTGAAAAAAATAAATAATTGCTGTGTTTCCGTTACCTTAGAATAATCTGTTTTTTATTTACAGAAGGAGTGGGTCCTCTTCTACGGAGTCCGCCATGTTGAACTGCTCGTTTCTACAGTAGCCCAGAAGGGACAAACCAAACACTCTCGATATGGCCTTTTGCGTTTTTGCGAGTTTAGCAGCCCCTGTTGTTTCTCATACAAGCTTGAAAGGCTGTGCTTTATGCAAATGGTTGCAATCTGCAATTTCATTGCTAGATGCCATTGAATCCTAAACTGGTTCTTTAAGAACAAGTCTCACAGAGCTGCTAGCATTCTGTAAATTCTTAAACTTGTTTATTGCCTTTAAGGCACCTTGTTTGCCTTCTGGTGTATCTTGGCATCATTATAGCATGAAAAAAGGAAAAAGATTGGAAGTCTCTTCACACACAAACATTTCTTTTGGATCTCAGGTGTATGGAGCAGCTTTTCTCAATCTCTTGTTTTTCTGCTCACATGCCTTCTCACACCGCACACATCATGAACATTTCCTCAGACAATGCTACGTTGTCGGCAGTGGCACGCCATCCTGGCCACTTTGATGGCAGTGAGCTTGAACTGGTAAAAAGAAATAATTCTGCAAGAATTTGGAAACTAAATAAGGAAGTTGAGGTTATTGTTTTGTGGCAGAAACCTGACACAACACTTACAGGTTGTCACTTTAAAGATGTCTGTAGTGATGTTATTTGAATACTAACTGAGTGATGTACCACCACATTATAAGGTTTTTAAAACAATGAGCTCTAGTTTTATTTAAAAGGACAATTTTAAAAAGCATTGTTAACATACTCACCCTTTCTCCAGAGCGTGGTCTCTTCTTTGGCCTGCTGGGTACTGTGTCTTCTTTTGGATTGGTGTCTATGGCCCAGTAGGAACCCTGGAGAGTCACGCCAATAATACAAAGAGATGAGCCTTGTGTTTGATGGAAGCTGAGCTGTTTGTGTATTTCTCCAGTGCTTTTGATTGCTCTGTAGTTTTAGGTGCACATTCATATTATTTGTATCTTACTTTAATAAGGAATACAGTGGTGAAAAAAGTCCCCAAATAATGATTTTAAACAAAAACAGCAACACCACAGGGGGGAAATATTCTCTTACAAGTTAAAGTACTGTGTATCAAGCATCAGAAAGATACCTTGCACACGATTCAATTATTACACCATGCTAAAAGGTGTTATAAACACTGGATTTTATTGTTGTAGGTGAGTGCTGAGAGTCTGAACTCTGATAGTTGAATCATACTACAGCAAAGGATCTTTTTTAGATAAGCAGATAAACTAAATAAGATAAGTTAAAAAATTGGATAAATTGGAAGGTAACTATTACAACCAATTTCTAAAATAAAACCTCTAAACTGCCTTCAAATATAGTGCTTTAGTAAATGTAATTAGTTTCTTCCCACTTCTTCCGTTAACTTTATTCATCTCCAGAGGGTAAACTAATTTGGAATGTAATTCAACATTTCAAATTGTAATCCCTACAAGAAAACTGTAACATTACTATAATATATTACTAGGTAATACATTACTGGCCAACACTGGTTATCACACCAATTATAAATCCAGCCTTTTTTAATAAACTTGACCAATTGACCAGTTCAATTTCATATCAATACGAAGCCCCCAGATATTTGTAACAATTTCTTTTTTTTTTTTTTATGTATATTTTTGGGGCTTTTTTATTGCGTTTATTATAGTGACAGCTGAAGATAGACAGGAAAGGGGAGCAGAGAGAGAGGGGATGACACACAGCAAAGGGCCACAGGTCGGATTCGAACCCTGGGCCGCTGCAGCAAGGACTCAGGATTTCAAGCCT